CCCATCATATCAAAGTCTTAAATCAACTCCAACCAAAATCCAAAAATTCTCTTCATCTGTAAAATCTAGAATACAAGTTATCTGCTTCCCAAGTACACTGGTGGAACAGGCACAAGCTAGACATTTCCATTACAAATGGCAGAAACTGGAGAGAAAGAAGGGATAACAGGCACCAAGCAAGTCAGCAGAACACATTACATTAGCCCTCAAGGTGTGAAAATAATCCTCTGTTCTCTGAGACCATTTAGGCAATGGCCCTGCCCTCTAGACTCTGGGCGTTGGCCACTCTCTCTCCAGATTCTGGGTGGAGGCTCCTCGGCTCTGGGCTTCGGTTCTGCCTTGCAAGTCCACTGGAATGGCCACTCTCCTCCCTCGGATTTGGACTGCCCCATTCTTCTAGTCCATCTGAGTGGCGAGTCTACACCCTCAGCCCCAGCAGGCCCCACTTTCTCTCTCTGTCGACTCTGGGGACCTCATACCACCAAAGAGAACAGCGCATCCTTTGGATCCAGGGTCCCTGTGCTGAGAAGCTCAACCAGGGAAGATTGATGACAAGGACCTTCCTCTAGAGCCAACAGAGAGAGAAGGCCTTCCCCTGGAGCTGGCACCCTGAATTCAGACTCCCAGTCTCCTAGACTGTGAGAGAATAAATTTGTTTGTTAAAGCAATCCACTTGTGGTATTTCTGTTTCAGCAGCACTAGATAACTAAGACGTAACCACAGGCATAGAGGTTAGGATTTACAGTACATACTTCTGGGGGACAGAATTCCATCCATAACAAATCCCATAAAAAAGTGGGCCAACTATTTGAGAAGACTCTTCACTAAGGAAGACACACAGGTGGCATTCAGTGTCAATGTCACTCGCAATTTGAAGGTTCAGATTAAATGTTGTTTATATCTGAGTAACACAATATTTACTGCCATTTGTCATCACAGAAAAGGTCAGCAAATTTGGAATATCTGTCTTTTTGTGAAAGAAATACATGTAACTAATCTACGAATCAACAACTGCTCTAAGGGCTTTGCCACAAGAATCAAATCTATGTGTAGCACAAATAAAAGTGGATGTATGTTTCAAAGCCACCTTAATAATGTCTAATTGTTCTAGCCAACTAATAAAAAAATCATTCCCCTCCTAATCTGGCTGAGGAGGAATGTGGGCCAGGATTAAAAGTGTAAACTGGGCACCACTGTCAACTCTCCCAGTTGTACACAGCCCACTGTCACAAG